ACAAGTGCATGTTTAGCCATTGAGAAAACAAACAAAAATAAATACCTTCTGCAAGAAAGACACCGGAATAGTTACATGACATTTCCAATAGGTTTTTATTATTAAGACTCCTAGTCAAATTTCTAACTAAACTTCTAACAATTTATATAGATAAGTAATTCACTAGATAATTTCAGTAATAATGTTCAAAACCCATCTTTCATTGAACACACACATTGCACAGCAGGGTGTTGCATGGATCTCTGGTTGTAATAGTTTTATTGAGGTGTAATTGGAATACAGAAACAATTAGATGCATGCAAAGTCATCATACAGAGTCAGCATCTCACACCCCTGTGACATCACCACCACAGTCATAGTGAGCAAGCATTTCAGTCACACCCAAAGATTCCAGGTGCCGCTCTGCTTTTCTCCTTCCTGCTTCTCCCCTCCTCCTTCCTGGCCCTGGCAACCACTGATCTGTGTTCTGTCATTCTAGACAAATTTACATTCTTTTAGAACTTTATGTAAATAAAATCACAGGATATATACTCTTTGTTTTCTGGCTTTTTTATCCAGCTAAACTATTTTGAGACTCATCCATGTAGTTGCAGGTATCAATTGTCCATTCCTTTTTTATGGGGAATATTATTCCATCATATGGATATAACATAAATTGTTTATTTATTTACCTGATGATGGACCTTTCTTTTTTTAGCTTCTTCTATTACAAATCAAACTGCTGTGAGCTTTCACGTACAAGTCTTAGTGTGAATGTTTTCATTTCTCACGCCTGAGAGTTGGAATGTGGGATCGTGTACCAGGGATACATTTCATATTTAAGAAACTACCAAACTGTTTTGACAAAGCAGTGCTGCTATTTTACATTCCCTTTTGTGGCTATGAGAATTCTAATTCGTCCACATTCTCACCAAAACTGGGTATAGTCAGTCTTTTAAATTTTAGCCAATTAAATTTAGTCATTTAATAAGAAACGCGTGACAGTATTAGTGAATAAACTATCACTGCCCAATGTCTAAGGTTTTGAATACCATTGCTCCTTATTTCAGCATATGTATTTTGTTTGTTTGTTTTGTTTTCTAGTTGTTTCAACTTGGAAAGTAAGCCAGCTCCCTGTTACTCCATCTTTGCCAGAAACCCCCCTCAACTTAGAGCAAAGGCAAGAAAACACTACATGAGAGACAAATAAAACAATGAAGTAAACAAATCTAAAAGAATTTTTTATTCACCAGCATTGCATTTTAACCATCACCATTATAGGTCCAGCTGCAAATTTGCTGTCCTGGTGAGGAAAATTTAACAGCATCAGAGCTCTCAGCAAATTCTTCCGTCTCTGTACTTTTTGACCTGAGGCAATAGTCTTTTCACTTATTTCTACAATAGTGCGTGCTTAGACTTATGATGACGACCGCCTGTTGCGTGGAGTAAATGAAGGCCAGCCCCTGGTCAATGAAACCTTCCCTGATCGTTCAAATATAAGTGGCCTCCTGGTTATTCTATTTTGTATCACCATGGTTTTGTTTTTGCTATTTTACTTATGGTTACCATATATTTTTGTGTTGATCTATTTTTTTTTAAATGATCTGTCTCCTTGAACTAGAATTCTCTCCATGAAATTGTGTCCCTTTCAGTCTTATGAAGAATAATGTTTGGCCTATTGTAAGTGCTCAATAAAATATGTTAAAAGAGTATTTTATGACTCTGGCCTTGGAGCAACGGTTGCTTCAAAAGAAAGTGTTCTAAGAGAAATATATACTTATAAAATATTAGTATCACAACATAGCCATGTGTTCACTTATATCTCCTGCGCACAAAATAGAAGTTCTACTGAAAGTAACTTCAAAAGGTAATCTGATTACAAATTTCTAACTGAGTAGGTCATGATGGGTAGTCATGCTGCAGGCACGTGATTTTTTTAGTGAAAAGTTGCAAACAAGCCCTGTCCTTTGTCCTGCTGCAGCTAGGTTAACACACCTTTCAAATCCCCAAAGCCACACACCCCAAAGGCATATTCACCTTCAAGAGAGCACACCAAGGAGTTAACTATCCTGTAATCCAATCCATGCCTTGATTCCTCCACATTCACATAACCTTTCTTGAATTCCCTTCTAATTCCAAGGACATTTTTTTAAAAACCTGCACATCGTAATCTTGGAAACTTTTGAAATCTTGTTTCCCAGCAACTGACTGGTTTGACCCAAATAAAAATTCTCAGCTGGCCTGGACACTTTTTATGTCAACACTACTCTTTTGATAACCTTAGTACGTGTGTTACCTATGAACCTGTCCTGATATTGCCTTCTTATCTGATTGCTTTCTGCCAGTTACCATCATTATTTTTTCACATTTCCTTATGTGGAATCTGTTCTATCCTGGCACTTAAAGTAACCATCACAAAACTACAGGGAAAGAAAAATAACCTCGTTCTGAGTTTAGTATTTCTGCAAACAATACTAGCACTTCATGTTGGACTCCAGATGAGAATTCCCCAGCTGAGCCCAATAATGTTAAAACGATAACAGAGATAATACATTATTGTCTATGACACTACTTTTTGGGAATTGCTTGTTATTCAGCAAACAGATTATAAGACAGAAGTTGATGCCTGTATTCGAGGTGTTCTGTAACAACACCAGCCCCTGAGTAAGTATAGAAAATAGAGTACTTATTACCCATGCAGCTTTGCTAGGGAGATTTCCACACAGAATGTTGAAAATGACAACTGACTTCTTCTGGTGCCTATAATAAAAAATAGAAGAACAAAAAGTTGGGCCAAAGAAAAAACTGTTGAATTTTTTTTAGAATGTAGTGGAAATAGGGTCCATGACATTCTTTTTCGGGAGCAAAAAGTTCTCAAAGTAAGACATGGCCTCAGGACAATGATCACATCCATGGCACTACCAGTAAAACATGGTGTCATGGTAAAGATGAAGTCAAGAATATGACCATGAGATCCTTGCTGACGCAGAAGGATTAGAATGTGTACCTGTCTCATAGACCCATAGGCAGGCAAAGGGCTTTTGGGGATATTAAAGGTATGTCTCTCAGACCTTACCTGCTAGGCAAAAAGCCTCTAAAAAACTCAAAGGCATCATCTCAAAGCACCCTGATGCTCATTCCAAAGGAGAATGTGGAATCATTCTCCTTTGGAATGAGATATTTGGAATCTGGAGATATTTTTGGGTGTGGCTTTTGTCTCACAGAGGGAGCACAAATAATATTCACAGAGAAAACCTGTACCATTTTGAAGAGCATTGCATTGGGGAAAAAAAGAAACACAACCAAACAAACAAATGAAAAAACAGCCACCCACCTACTTGAACTTAAATGTTGCTGAAATACAGAAATACAGTTTAATTCCATGTATTGATGTCATAATCCAGCAACCATACTGAATTTATATATTTATTCTAATTGTTTTTAGATTCTTTGGAATTTTCTATGTTGTCAATATAAGAAATTTCCAAAATTTTTAGATGCTTTTTATATTTATTTGAGCCAAAGGATATACCCAGAAGCAAGATCTCAACAGACTGATATAAATGTTTCTGAGAAAGCAGTTTCTTTTATGCATTTGAAATTGAGGGAAGAAACAATAGGATGATTAAAATGATGTGAGTGGATAAAATGGCTGTGGTACATTTACACAGTGGAATACTACTCAGCCCTGTAAAAGAAAGAAATCTTATCTTTTGTGACAGCATGGTTAAATTTGGAAATGATCATGCTAAGTGAAATAAGCCAGTCAGAGAAAGACAAATACCATATGATTTCACTTATATGTAGAACTGACTGAACAAAGTAAACTAACGAAGTGGACACAGACTCATGGATACAGAGAACAAGCTGTCACAGTCCAAGGAGGTGGGGGCTGGGTGATATGGGTAAAGGGATAAAACAAAAAAAATGAAAGACTCATGGACATGGAAAATAGTATGGTATTTGCTGGAGGGAAGAGGGCTGAGGGAGGTAGAAGAGGGTAAAGGGGGATAAATGGTGATGGAAAGAGACTCGAGTTGGTAAACACACAACACAATATACCAATGATGCATTTTAGAAGTGTATGCCTGAAGCTTGTTTAATTTTATTAACCAATGTCACCCCAAAAAATTTCAATTAAAAATAAAAATAATAAAAATAAATAAAAACATAATCTCAAGAAAGTGTTATGTGCTCTCTTGGAGGTGGTCACATAGAGATTGGACTGTAGGTTAGTTAAGATAATATATTCTCTTTAGGGTGGTTACAGCTCATTTCAAGGGTGTGTTAAGTTAACCTAGATGCACAGAAACAATGGACAGGGCTTGCGTAAGGCACAGATAAACCATTTACTAAAAATTATATACCTGGTGACTACCCACCATGACCTGTCTAGTTAGGAGTTGATGGTCAGGTCACCCAGTGAGATTACTTCCCATAGAGCCTCTGTTTTGTCAACAATATGTAGATCATCATTCCACATTTTATTTCTGCAACTATTGTGTATGTCCTTCTTCTTTAATTATTTTTTACACCGTGGATCTCTACTTTTTTGCACTTAGTTAAAATGCTGATCATTTCTTTGTTGGTGTACTTTTTTTTAATGGTTAGACAGCAAACAAAGAAGATTCAACTGTTCAGCGATGTAACTGGGCACTTCATTGCCATATCTAATTGAATCCAGAAGATAATAACAGTGACAAACTTGAAATGAATCAGAGTGTATCAAAGCTGCATACATCTCCTATGTCTTGGGTTTCCTGATATTCATGCTGTCTTCTGTTGCCTGAAAGGTTTATGTTAGTCACAGACTTATCTGCCAGTTCCTAGATGATTTTTTTCTCATTCTATTCCTCTCTTCTTCCCAAAATGCAATACTAGCTACTTCCTCTACTGTGTGTTAATATTAACAAGTAGTTCGATCTTCCCAATCATTTCCACAGTGATGTAATCCAGTACAGCCACTAAAAGCCCTTCCTTGTTTAGGGCAAAGGATCTGATTAACGTTAGTTCCATTTTAAAATGTAACTGAATAGTTACATTTTAATAGCTTGGAATCTTGGTACATAAACTATTCTGAGTGACAAGTGGAGGAATATTTTGTAAAGTGTGTTATATTTTAAAGTGTGTTATCAATGAAATTCAGATAACATCATTTTCACAGTGAACTTTGGCTCATTTATGGTTTAACCATTACTGCTGTGAAAATTGCAAAAGGTATGTATATATGCTCCTACACAGAATACCAGCTCAGTGATTTTAAGATTTCTTTGCTCCTGACCTAAGAGCACACTTGCTCTTTGCCTTGTATAGTTAGCGTTCAGTAAGTCATTTTTGATTGATTTGATGAAAGATGCCATCCCCGAACCAGTCCGGTGTTCTTCATAAATTCAAGGACATCCTCTTTTCTACTATGTGTTCAGAAGAACTTCTAAGTTCTATGGATTCTTTCAATGCAAGAGAAGATGATGTGTTTCTGGTTTCCTATCCAAAATCAGGTAAAGTTTATTTTAATGTATTTTGTAAATGTAGGAATACAATAATAATAATGATGGCGATCATGATTTTTACAAAAACTTTTGTTTTTCAGAATTTTCCACAGGAAATTAAAGTATCCTAACTGCTTATTCTAATGAGAAAGTTTGTTGGTAGAGAAGCAAAAAAATGTGCTTTGAAGAAATTCAGCTGGGGAAATTAGAGCTTTACTACCCTTTGGTTTCTATTTTATTCATGAAGACATACAAATGTTGAAATATATAATAAGCATAATATCTGTAACATTATAAAGTTTTCTTAGTACTTTGTGCCAGGCATGAGGATGGTGATAAATAGTGTTTATTCTAATTATAATCAATCATTTATTTATAAATAAATAATGTTTTCTTCTGGGCTATCAAGAACCATAAATACTTTTATTATCATAGATTATGCCTTATTGTTTAAATTAATAATATACTACTTTTTATTCTGAGGGGTCACCAGGATTTATGATACCCAACTGCCTGTTGCGATGTCCAGAGTAGTGGATGTGTGTGGCTGAGCACCTGCACACCTGCTGTCCCGGACTCAGACACTCAGGCTCCAGCTCCCTTTAATTGTATGTGCTCTGTAGCCCCCTCTCTGTGCTGTCAATCAGGCCTGGGAGACTCTTTCTTCAGACGATGCAGAGTTCACATAGGGCCAGGTCTCCCAGGGTGTTTTTGAGAAGAAATAAAAACCATATATGTATCTCTTTAATTGGAAAATATTGTCCCAAATGACAATTAAATGATTGCCTCCAGAATACCACAGTATTCTTGCTATGCAGTAGGTTGCTGTGTGAGTAAAAATACCTTATCTTCAGTTGATGTGGTAGTTTAGAAAATAATTAACAAGGCTTTTAAGGTTCTTTGAACAGGTGACTAATTTATGCCATATCGAGACAACCACATATGAGGTTGCCTCTTCTCATCAGCTTCCAGGAGTCCTTTAGCAGCACCAAACTCTATTTTCCCTCCTTCATCAGAAGAAATCAATAGATTTTCTTAAAATAACACAGCTCCCACTACTACATGAGTCACATTTATATGAATATTATAAATATTTAAGGCATTAGCATCATAACCTAAAATAGTCTTAAATTTAAAACATCATGCAAATGAGAGCACTGTTTAAGCTATGAGTATTTATTTGACTGTAAAATTGTAATCGCAATGAGATAAATGGAAGCGAACATTGCTCTCGAATGAACGAAACGTCATCTCCACCCAGACTTCTGCTTCCCTGCTTCCATTTACTAGAGTCTACAGCCCTGGAGCACATCCGCATTCACTCCACCTAAACATGAAGGGGTGTTCCTTCCGGACTCGGAGGTAGCAGGCTTGCATCTCTGTGATGTTTGAATATGCCGTGTTGCTCATTGTTCTAATGCTTTGTTTGCACAACTTCTCAGCATTTACACTCAAACAAAAATAAGATCCAGTGCCCATCTTCAAAGGGGAACTGGGGAGCTAGACATAAATAAGCAATGGTAAGTGCACTGTGATATATGTTACTTTGGAGGGACTTGAAAGGTGAGCAATCGTTTCCCTTTGGAGGGACTCGGAAAAGCAAGGTGATGAGCTTGCAGGACCAATGGGAGTTATGTGTGGAAACGTGTGTGTTTGTTAATTGGAGAAGATGCTAGAGGTGAGTGGTAGCACAGAAGAGGACTGCATGCCGAGGAAAGAGCATATACGGTTTTCATATCTCTTTACACTTTTATTCCTGCATAATAAAGTAACATTTTAAGTGTTTCAACAGATTTCAGTGTCAGTTTTCAAAGGTTGTAAAACTATTTATAATACAATTAATTCATTTATTACTTTTATAACTGAACATTAATTTTCTATATTCACTTCATTAAAAATGCAGTTTAATTAAAAATGAATTTCATGTTATTTTTGTGTGAAGGCACTCACTGGATCGCAAAAGTCATTGAGAACATTCCCAATGCTGAAATTACTCTAACATCTCCAATTGAATTGGGAGACATTTCTAAATTCGAAGAGCTAAAGATGTGTTGTAAGAGAAGAGTTATCCCAACGCATTTGAGCTATAACATGCTACCACTGGATATTAAACGAAAACAATGCAAGGTAAGTTCAACGGTGAAGGGCAAAAGCTTGGGAATGCCACAAAACTTGGATGCTTGCTCGGCCACTCACAAGATGTGTGGACTTGGAAAACTGCTGATGCTCTCTGACCCTTGGTTTCCTTATTAGATGCAGGAATAATGGTATCAGTCTCGTACAGATGCAAGAAGACAACGGTAGTGTAGATGTGGCTATGGTATCTAGCTCATAAAAATTATTTTAATAATCCTTCAGCAGTGAAAGAAATGTGAACTCTAATTATACTAGACAATGTCTTAGTCTATTCTGAATCTGGTTTTAATCTTTTTACTTTAAATCTTGATGTCTGGAGAAAGAAAAATTGCCTTAGTGTTGTTTTAATTATTTTTATCTGTGATTTTTGCAAGGGGTTATATAAGAAAGGAATAAAAAATGTTGTATATAAAATGCTAAAACATAGTTACATCAAGCTATTTTTAAAATAAAGTACCACATTATTATTATTATTTTAAAAGTTAAGTATAATTTATATTTTCATATACTTTATACTCAAATTTGTGTTTTCATGGAGAAATGCTTATGGAATAAGGTTAAGTAGAAAGTATATTTCAAATATATATGTACTGAATAATCTCAATTAATTATAACATATATACACACACATAGAAAAAAGTCCAGATGTAAATGTAACAACATGCTGAGTGGTTTGTATGTGGTACGACATTAGAGTTGGTTTTATTTTCTTTACAAATGTCTGTATAAGGCGCACTTTAAAAATTCTGTTTTGATCAGGAAAAAAAAAATTTGAAAAGCGAAGGTGAGATACCTGTGTTTGTTGTAACGAGGCTCCAGTAATGAAGCCGCTCTAAGCAATGTCAGCCATATTTCAAAACCAACAAACACAACCTACCGGTCAGACGTGCACAAATCAGAGCAGGTCTTGCCGTGACTACGGCTCCATGACCACGGAGTCTCTCTGCGCACCCGTGTTCCTCTGCCCAAAGAAAAGTAAGCACAGTCAGCCAGAGGTAAAGGTCAGTCTTGCCTCCATTCCCAGCAAGTCTATCAGAACGGAGGGAGGTGTACTAGCGTGGCGACACTGGCACGCAGCCAAGCATTTTCATTTCTGACCATTTCTAAGACAGAGAGGGGGGTTCTGGGGAGAAAAGGAGTCTGCTGAGCTCAAAAACCCTTACTCGGGACGATGCAGTAACATTGATAACAAGTGGCTGTCAGAGATTGAGCTGTGTTTTTTTAAATTATTTATTTATCTTTAGAGGGGAAGGGAAGGAGAGAGGGAGAGAAATAGCAATGTATGGTTGCCCCTCGTGTGTCCCCTGCCAGGAACTGGCCTGCCACCCAGGCATGTACCCTGACTGGGAATCAAACCTTAATCCTTTGGTTCACAGGCCTGCACTCAATCCACTGAGCTACACCAGCCAGGGACTTGGGCTGTGTTTTACAACATTACAAAAATAAGAGCAGTGGGTATTTTTCTTTTCATAAACAAAGAAACTGAGCTCAGAATGGTTCAGGCACTTCTTTAAACTACGTGCCACACTGAAGGTACAGCCTTAAGGCACGACCTTCTTAAGGTGACCTCTAATGGGGACTGAGACACTGCTTGGCCCAGGTCCGCCAAGAGGATGAGCTGTGCTATTGCTGAGTCGCAGACCTAAGGGCTTGGGGCAGGACCAACAGTACGCCCTCCAGCACCACCCACCAGCAAAAAGTCCCTCTTCCTGTCTTTCTCTGCAGCTCACAGTCCCACCAGGCCTCTTATAGTTCCTACCACACTCTGCACTTCCCTGTCACGACCCTCAGGATGCTGCATTGTCCAGTGTATTTCTCACTTCACTGCATATTTTCAGGGGACTAGAACTATTTCCGTCCTGCTCATCATTACATTTCTTAGACCTAGGATGTTGCGCACCACCTGGTATACAGTAGGTATCAGTAGATATATACTGAATTGAATTAAATTACAGTTGCAGTGTTTCTATAAATTAGTAGGTATCTTAGATTTCCTGCGCTTTGGGGGATTAAATTGTAGAAAAAGGAAATTCCAAAACATCATTCTTCCTATAAATAAGAATAGACAATTGTGTAAGAAATTGGGCTGTATGTGAATCATGTTTCATAATAAATGGATATTTAAAAAGTAATCCCATCCTAAAAATGAATAGGGGTTTCTCACGTCTACCCCTAAGAAGATAGGACCAAATGTAACACATAAACTGAGAAAAGTGGGGTTGATGAGCTGGCAGCATCGACACGTCCAGGCATTTGTTGGAAGTGCAGGAGGCCCAGCTTTGTCTGGAGCCCCTGAGTCAGAATCTGCATTTTCACAAGACCTCCCTGGCCATTCCTATGCACACAGCATGTTGAAACACTGGCTTAAGTCTGTGTTTAATAATTAGCTGAAGCGGCCAAAAAATTGTGACTGGCACAGGTAAGTTTAGCTCCAACTTTTTTTTTTACTTTTTTTAATTTACAAATTTTAAAAATCACAGTTAACATTCAGTATTATTTTGTGTTAGTTTCTGGGGCACAGCACAGTTATTCTACAGTCTATACTCTAGGGAGTGTTCTCCTCGATATTTCCAGTTCTAGCTTCTGTTCTCTTTTAGGACATGTTTTGCACTGTGGCTATTTCCACGCAAAAATAAATGAATTTTTTTTAAAACAGATTATCTACATCATCAGGAATCCCAAAGACACAGCTGTTTCTCTGTTCCACTACTACAGAGAGAACCCTAATCTCCCTGGCATCGAAAGCTGGGCTGCGTTTTTAGAGCTATTCCTAAGCGGAGATGGTAAATATAACAATGATTTTTAGTCATAATATACAGTGAATCTTTCTGCTCAAAATGAAAGTGTTTTCCAAGAATTTAAATAGACTCCAATGCCTACTTTCAGACGTACATCCTTCAATAGATTACTCTTTTACTTCTAAACAGTTCTTTCTCAATGTGCTTCTTCAAAGTCATTCTTATCACCCTTGGGCAGTCAATATTAGCAAGCTCTTAAGATTAATGCTGACCAAGCATCTATGTTTTCCATACCATCAGTCTTTCCAGTGAAATAGTTATGCACTAATTGGAGCACAGTGAGATGTGGCTGGAACCTGGACAGTAGCTGAAACATGCCTTTTCATATACCTGCATGGAAAATAAAACACAAAGAAACAACAACAACAATACACACACACGCACACACACACACACACACACACACACACACAAAACCCCTCAAATCCCCCAAATAAAACAAATGTAAAAGAATTAGCCACCCTGGCACTTGGTGTAATTACCTGGCACTTCAGGATAAAAAGTAACAGAAAGTAATTTATCCTGAAAATACCACAAGGAGACATCGTTTGATTGAACTGCATAGCATACGCTGGCCCTGCTCCCATGCATGACCTTTGAATTTATTCCCTGTTTTTATGAGACAGTGGTGTCTAGAGCACTTAAAAACCCCCTTCTAAACTCCCAATGTATAATAAACAAACATAATATACAATGACAATTCTGAATTTAAAAGCGACATGATTTAGCAGTGGTGTGCACCCAGGAGATTTTCTTTTACTGAGTACAGAGTAGATCTTAATTGCTAGTTTCAGTATTTTACATGTAAATTGCCATACTTTTGTTTGTTAATTTAAGAGAGGCCCTAGCAAGTATAACCTGGATGTGAAGACATTGGGACGTCACCAGCAATAGGATTTGCTACTTTGTTTTGCTATGTTCCCTTTGCAAGAATATGCTATTCTCATACTATTTCAACTCCTCCATTTCCTCATTTAATGGCACACATTTAGTAGAGTCATAAAGTTTCAGGAATGACAGGTGCACTAAAGGTCATCTGTTTAAAACACCCACCTGATGTTTTCATCGCCTTTACAACATCTCCAAGAATTGTAGGTGCTAAGTTTGAACTTCTTAACCCTGACAACAGGCCCACACTCCACACTCCTGCTCTCCAGTAGAACACTTCATCTTGGAACTTCTACACGTTGAAAAAATCCTTACCATGTGACACAGACACTGGGGTAAGTGCTGTGCACACATGATCTCTTTTCATCCTCACTCAGCCACATGGGGTAGACGTTATTATCGTCACTTTACAGGGGATAAAACTGCTGACCTGGGCCAAATAACTTGTCCATACATGCATAACTAATCAGGAGCAGAGCCAAGATTTAAATCCAGGTGTCAGCTCCAAGACCTTTGCTCTTACACTGTGCCATAACTCGTCCCGCAAAAAAATTGTGCCCCAATCATTAATTCCTCTTCCACATGTTAGTCTTTTAAATATTTGAAGATAGTTAGCATGCCTCACTCTGCTTCAATTCCATTTTTGGAATAAGCAGAGTATAAATATATAACTTATACATTTAAAACAGATCTTGCGCCTGCTTTTTCTCAAGAAAAAAAATATTGCGTTTGTCCCCCATTAACATACACTGAGGCTCACCCATTGGCCCTCACACTGCAGACGCTCAGACTAGGCCAGGTTTCTGTAACTGCAATGCCTGGAAGGCCGAGCAGCAGTAGGGTGTGGTCTGGCTGATTCGGTTTGAGAGTTAACATTCTACGAACGTAGACACAGAAAGGCTAAGCCAGGCCACACACAGGGCAGCAAACCAGTGTCACAAAGCATTTGCCTTTGTTATCACAGTACCAGGAGTTGCAGCAGAGTATGTGGGAAGGGTAGAGTGCAGTTGGAAAAGTACTTCGGGTGAACTTTTTACACCTTCTTAAGTGAGTTGATAGATTTTTAGTTGAAAAGAGACTTGACATGTGAGTATTCTACAACTGGGCAGTCCCTCTAGACACCAGGAATAGTCACTGAATCACTAAAGCTTTTAAAAAATTTATAGAGGTAGGAACTATTCCTTCACATTTTCCTACTTATAAGATACAGTTGTTCATTTTCCTGTTTGTTTGTGTATGTTGTAAATGACTGTGTTTCAGGGGTGTTCTTCAATGACTCTTGGGGGGAGGATTCTTCCTCTTGCAAATGACAATGTGATATAGCAGAAAGAGCAGGCTATAGGAGCAGAAGACTTGGGATCAAGTCCTGACAATACTTTGTTCTCTGTGTGATTTTGTACAATAGCTTAACCATTCTAAGGTTCAGACTCCTCATATAAAATAGGGCTAATAAAATCCTCTATTTTGTAGGATTATTTAGAGGTTCAAATTAAGTAATGGTTAAAATTTTCTTTAAAAAATTACTGACTTACTCTATTAGACTTAACTTTTAAAGACACAAAGACTTTTAACTAATTTTTTACTAAGGTGAAAATGTTGCAAGTAGATATTTATCTAGAAAGATTCTTTTACAAATGAGGCATCATGATATCCAAAACCAGTATTCAAAACGTGGATATAAGTACACATTAAATGACAAGACACTGCAATAAAGATAAAGATAATGACATTTATTGAATCATCTAACTTATCTTTCAGAGAGTTTATAATGCACTTTAGGTTTTTAAATGAAACAGTAACTATAAATTATATTCTGACAATATCCTGGCAGATTAATATTTCAATGAAACAATATCTTCACATTTTACTTTTTATTCTCTATTTCCAGCCCCTCTCAGTTTTATATTAAAATTCTCCATTTCCTAGGCCACTTCATCCCAGTGAGTTTTGTTTTCTGCACAATTATCTACCACCAGTGTGCTTTCTAGAGACTGGACAGTAAGATACTCATTATAATTGGATATCGGAGTCGCATACAGGGTTTGCAGAAAGTATGGGAGTTTTGAAACAGCTGAAGAATAGGATAATGTGTTAATGCAGGGCAAATTGGTTTGCCAGCAGCCTTGGGGCCCTTGAGACTGGAAAAATGAATTTGCAGCGGTGCGAACACAGCGTGGTAAGAATTTCCTCGGCCAGATCTCAGCAGTGGGAAGCGAGCTGGAAAGAAGGCGAAGTGTTTTGATCCACTACTGAGTGTTTTCAGGGGATGATTAAGATAACCTATAAGGGGACAGGAAATTAAAGGTATTGGTGAAAAAGTCTTGAGGAAATGTACAAATGGAAGAAAGTAAAGGTAGAAAAGGACAAAAATAGTTAGAGGAAGATGTTGCAGAAATATCCCTTAAAGTTACTACAGTTGGAGACCTGACATGACGCAGAAGATTGTAATCTAAAATCAAAGTCGTCAGTGACTGCGGGGAGAGGTCAGAAGGTCAACTTCTGGCTGAAACCAGGATGGAAGGAGTGGTGTGGTCAAAGGGCAGGCCGAAGGAGCTTGGATTGCCTGGGAGGGAGGAGTTCTGGAAGTCCATCGAAAGCCGAGGTTGCTGACTCACTCTCCCTAAGATACATGAGTTGGTTGAGAAAGAGCAACTTGTATTCAAGGCCATCTCAGGGGAAGGAGTAACTTTTGGAAGGCAACTGTGCTCACCTCCACACCTCCAACACCAGCGTGGAGAGCAGAAGGAGGGCCGTCAGTCATATGTTAATTAAAGTCAGGAGGTGGTAGAATCATTTTGTAATTAAGTGAAGGTTATGCGGGAAAATACTTCCCCTAAAGGCTAGATTTCATATCTCTATTTTGGAAACTGTATTTTCTTTTTAAACCCTGGGTCTGCTCTGCTCATGACCTGGACAATGAGGATTTTGATTAAAAAATGAACCCAAACTGTAATTTCCTACATTAGTGAGAAAGGCGCAGGCAATCAATTGCTTTAGATTTTTTTTTGGCTAGCTTGAGTCCTTTTGGAACAAGGTACAGTAGAAATTAGTTAATAATAGAACAGCTGGCTATCAAATTATGATCAGACTAAGATCCAAAAACTTATTCTTAAATCTATTTTGAATGTGTTGGAGTGTATTTTCTCCTGAATAACCATAATGGGCAAGGTAAATTAGAGTATCCCACCCATCAGGCCCTGCCCAGGACACAGGACAGAGTACTGAGGGCTGTGCATTGTCAGTGACTCCAGGCAGGGACATGGGCTGGGCCGTGGCTGCCAAGGGGAGTTGGGGCGGTGGATGGAGACTGTGAAGTAGTCTGCGGAGCTAGAGACTAGTTAACTACCTACATTTATGTGAGAGAAATATCAGTCTTCTTCCCCCCATGTGTTGGTGCTTGGTAAAACACTGGGCATTCTTACAAGATAAACCCTTGTCACTGATATGGTAATTCAGGTAATTGTAAGCCAGTATTATGTGAGACACTGAAATAGCAGTGAGATTACTGATAACTGAAAACTTTATCTGCACAGTTCTTCTAAGAACCAGTTACTGTATAGCCTTTTGGGTCCAAGGGGTACTAGAGAATTGGGTTGACTCCGACAATACCACAGTGGTCCCAGAAATTCTGGTATCAAAACTATGCTACAGTTATTTTCTTGCCCTTTGCTTCCTTGGGAGCTGAAGCCATGAAAAATTGCACATAGTTTGAAGTTAATTATATTTCAATTTATTTAAAACTTTAATGTTCAAAATGACTTGGGAACTAGCTAGTATTAAATCTTTGTCTGATAAAGTTCATGGAAAGATGTATATGTAGTATTTTAAATTTTTGTTTTGTACTTTCTTTTGTCAAGCTAGTCAACTTTTTGTGTTTTTAATCGTCACTGCTGTAGAGGTTACTTTACATGATAATATTTTACTTTTAAGCCCTGGAAACTTTTTAAGACTGTCAAATTAACAAAACATTAAAGAGACAATATCAACTACTGATCAATCCCTACGCCTGTATTTCTCAACCTTGAACTAAGATACTTGAATAAAATTTTTGTTTGTGCTGATGGTGGTGGGAAGTTTATACACTGTTTGTGACAAGAACTTCCAGTTTTGAAAAGCATGTCACATTATAGAAAGAAAATGCCAAATTTTCAATGTTTCTCTATTTCTCCCAAGATTCAAAGTAGTTATCAAAACACAAGTTGGGGAAATGCATATCACTATATTTCTGTTGTCACTTCTGATGATAAAAAACATTTACTAAAAGTTCACACAACCCAATGAAAAGATATCACTACCCAGCTTCTTTTCACAGTATTGTAATTAGTTGAAACAATAGTGAAATTGAGCTCTTCTAAGGACAACTTTTTCATTTCAGAGTCTAATAAGTATGTGCCTTGCTTTAACGACTTTGCTAAAGTGGAAAGAACCCACAACCCAAAGCCGTACGGTTCAAATATTAACGCAACAATTCATTTTTCTTCTAGTTGTGTATGGATCCTGGTTTGATCACATTTTAACCTGGGAAGACCACAAACATGATAAAAACATTCTATTTATATTCTATGAAGAAATGAAGAAAGTAAGTCTTTCCTAACATCTCAACAATCAAAACTCAAGTCAAATTACATTAATATGGGAAGTCAATCAATGAATCCTGTCCTGTTTTTGGATTTAGGGGAATAAATTTGGTATTTTGATGAGTAACATTCTTTTTAATTTATTGTTCAGGATCCTTCTAAAAGCATAAAGAAAATAACTACTTTCCTCGGTATAAATGTGAGTGACAGAGAAATCAATCAGATTGCTTGGAAATCATCATTCAGGGAAATGAAAAATGAGGCAGCCAAAGAAAACTGTGATCCCAATAAGACCATCTGTGCCCTCACATCGAATAGGAGCCTGGTATTCAGGAAAGGTAGGCCAGAAAAGGGTGCGGTGCCTCGCCTGGGGCTCATATTTGGAAGTAGTTCTATTTTACCTCTTTAACCCTTATTTCCCTGTAGTGCACCCCATCTTGCAGAACAGATGACACATCGTCATCCACCATCAGTGAATGTTTATTAAATGAAATTCTTGAATTGCATTCTTTCCAGACTTTGAGATTTCCATGCCCAGTTAAAAACCAACTGAGAAAAACACAGGGGTCAAACAGATAGAAATGATCAAATTATTTGAAGAATGTGTCTCAGGTCTGCAGACTAGTGTGTTTGCTAATAAGTTTTTTTATAAGCACATTCTTAATCACAGTCAATCAAATGCAGTCATGTCCCCCTACTGCAGCAGGTCACTTAGAGCGTGTTACATGGCATGTTTCCTTTAGAAGAGAGAAAGGAGCTGGTAAGTGTGGATGGTGCATTTTCCCAAACTCACCCATCAAATAACTTGCTCTGCAGGTCAGGGGTGGAAAGAGAGCTGGATTGTTATTGAAAGAAGTTCATCTGCATGGGAACACGCAGAGAAGGAAAGAAATCTCCACTAAGTCTTAACATGTAACTTAGAAGGAGGTTAGGTAGTAAAATCTAATGGCAAGAAGAAAAGTTCAGCATGGAATTGGAGGGTATATTTTTTATTTAAAAAAACTTTTAAATTAATTTTAGAGAGCAAAAGAAATGGGGAGAGAGAGAGAAAAAGAGAGGCAGAGAAACAAAGACATCAGTTTGTTTTTCTGCTGATTTATGTATTCATTGGTTGATTCTTATACATGCCTTGACTAGGGATTGAACCTGTAACCTCAGTGTACCAGGATGATGCTCTAACCAACTGAGAAACCTGGCCAGGGCCTCAACTGTATTTTCTAGGAAGAGCTGGTAGTTTCTCATGTGCTAGAATGGTGTACAATGTGTGAAGCTGAATCAGGGAGATGAAGAGATTGGGACCAGAGTCCAAAAGCTTTGATGGACATCATACAGAGGTCTTTTTTACCCTCAGTCTGTTGGCACTTTTAAGAATAAATCTGACATGGTCAGACCTGTGTGGAAAATTGATTAGAAGAGGTTAAATGCAGAGGCAGACAGTCTAGCAAAGAGGTTCTGGTTAGTTCAGTTCAGAAAGATTAATGATTATATAACTAGGGCAGTGGCAGTGAGTCACTGTTGGGTGCAGCTCAGCTGAGAGGTCAGGGAGCCATCAGCAAATTGGAGAATTTGGTAAAGTTGCTCAGGGTAAGTAGGAAGAGCGTCTGGAGAAAGGGACAGAAAGGGGAGCCCTAGGGATCCTGACATCAATGGGAATGAAACAGTCTCCAGACAAGCCAAGCAAAAAGATCAGCCATAATTAGGAAGAAGGCCATGGTCAAAGATGACCATTTATTTATCATTCATGAATTCTGAGAGTGCAGGAGGAAGCCAGGTTGAGGGATTTGAAGAGATGAGAAATAAAGAAAGAAGCAGCAAATAGGGAGCACTCTTCTAAGAAGTTTAATGGTGGAGGATGGAAGTTAGATGATATTGGAGCTTGAGAGAGAGGCAGGGTCAAGAAAAAGTTAGGAGAGGTGGGAGAGAGAAGATAAAAAGAAGACAAAAATTTAGAAGATTCATGAAGGAAGGTAAACTGAACTAAAGGGTGAGAAACAGAGATCAGGATGGACCGTGGTAAAGAGAATGATGAGAAATGAAATTCTGATGGTTACTGGAATCCAGTGCTACCTCTGACATTGCTTATCACTGCCCTTTGGGATATGATTAGCAAATTCTCAGTACTCATACACTTTATCTTAGAAACTTGAGAAATTTTACCATAATGATATTAGAGTTCATCCCTGACCTGCCATTGTGACCCTAGCAAATATTTCCTGGAGAAATCATATCAATGTAGTTGTGGGTGACAACATTTATTCTAATGCATTTCCATTTTATCTAAAAGTGGTTTCTTTATATTGTGTCTAATGAAGCACAGAAGGCTGACAGTAGGAACATCTTCACTGACGCTAGTCACCATGAACACCAGTTGGTAAACTTGGACTATGTGAGAGACTAAGCCCAAGGACTGGTCAATAAAGACCATTCACTTTATTTATTTCTTTAAAGATTTTATTATTTATTTTTAGAGAGGGGAAGGGAGGGAGAAAGAGAGGGAGAGAAACATCAATGTGTGGTTGCCCCTCACGCTTCCCCTGCTGGGGACCTGGCCCACAATTTAGGAATGTGCCCTGACTGGGAATGGAACCAGCAGCCTTTTAGTTTGCAGGCTGGAGCTGAGTCCACTGAGCCACACCAGCCAGGGCAAGAGACCATTCACTTTATTTCTTTTGTTTGATGAATGGGGTGGGTATGGGGGCTCCATCCTCTGAAAGTAAGAGTTTCAAAGAAACTACTGAAGTCGCTGATTCAGAATCCTTGGCACCCAGAGATAATCTTCACAGAGGAAGATTTGTGCCTGCAGCTGTCTTTACTTTAAACTCAGAAATAGAGCTGATATTCTAGAAAATGACTATGGTGGTCAGGGAGATAAGGTGACAGGCAAGGATGATCCACATAAGTGTCGGAAGTCTTAGGGCTTCTGACATACTGAAGTCTGGGGGGAGAACTATAGAAGTCTGGAATGATGCACTTAAAGTATCATTAATCAGACACTGTTAAAAACGTGAAATCACATCCATAAAGGGGTTTACTATGGAGTCATGAAAACTGTAGAGTAAAAATAGCTGGAATTTACTGAGTGCTTTACTATGTGCCAGAGACATTACTTGGTTTGTCTGGATTTTGACAGCAGACTTTTGAGGATAATATTCATGTTGTCCATATTTTACTCAGATGCCCAGTGCCTGAATAATTCATCCAAAGACACACAGCTAGTAGCTGGTAGAGTCGAGATCTGAAGCAAAGCCCTCTTACCCTACGTTCCACAGTGTTCACTGTTGGTATATAAATACCAACCTGAGAAGATGAGCAAACTATAGTAAGAGGAAAAGTTAGGTTATAATTATGTGATTCAAAATGTAGTTTACATGCATTTATATGTTTGTAAAGAAGAACATCTGAAAAAATGCACACCAGCCAATTTGTTAGCCATGTTACCAGAACACAATTTCCTTGATTTTTATCCTCTTTGCTTATGTGTATTTTCTCTATCCTACATATATAGCTACTATTTTATTAAAAATTTTTTTAAGTTAAACTAAAAATTAGAAACCAAGCAAATGAAAGTCAGGTCAAAGAAAGAAGAAAGCAGTGGTCTAAGTGAATTGATATCAGAAACTGGAAGGAAGTACCAGGAAAGACCAAAGAATATTAAAACCGACCTTTTGCCTCAAGTGGGGTGTTTTAGAAGCAATGTCATACAAAAAAGTGATTATATTTTCAACTCTTTGTTACCAATATTGTAAAATACAATTTTCAATGTATTTTAAGGAGACCAACGATCCACCCCTGGGCTGAGTTATCAGCACGGCGACTGCTCTGGAGGTGCACAGACCAGGCAGTAAATGCAGCATCACTATACCTACTTTGTCTGCTTTATGTTTTGATCAGGTTTAGGGGAGATACTTTTTGCCTGCTACTGTAGAACTAAGGACTATGTATTTTTCATCTTCCTTTCTTTGTAAGATAGAACTTTTTAAACTAGACAAATCAGCATACAGCTATTACTAAAGAAGTTAGAAACAACAGATTAGCAAATGAAGCAAAGAATAATTTCCTTATCATCTTATCACCAAGAGCTGAAATTGTTCACATTTTATTATAAATCTGAGAGATTTCTTTTGTGACTGCTATATATTTAAATTGATTCTTATCTGGTACATTTCCAATTTTTCCAGGAGCGGTGGGTGATTGGATAAACTACTTTACTTCAAAGCAGAAGAGAGTATTTGATGAACTATTCGCAGAGAGAATGAAGCACAGTGAACTAGCAAGACACTTTGAAGATTACTCTTAATACAAATGGAAAATGAAACCAATTTCCATTTTATGCGATACAGTGCTTGTAGAATACATAAATATTTTTTACCAATGTGGAAAGCAGATATTTCTTGCCGAGAGAAATAGACACCTTATGAATGCATCGAAACTGCCATGTGCAAGAGACTATTATTATCACATTTGATGGTGGCAGGGAATTATTAATAAAAGAAAGTATAGAATTTTTGAATAGCTGAAGTATAGATCTGCTTTCAGGATATGGATAAGGCAAGGAGATGATTGTTTAGAAAGCATACTACTGTGGGTATGCTATAAACTGCACTAATGTACAACAAAAGAAGTGAGGGATTGATTATCTGAAGTAACCAGTGTCTGAGAAGAATCCATGTCCTGCATTTTGCACTATGGTGACCTCTAAACAAATGCTTTTATTTCAATCTTCCCTGGTGTCCATGTAAAAAGATTCTGTAGTGTCATAGCAGTGAAAACATAATTTTACCAAGGTGAAAACACCTAATAGGCAAATGATATTAGATGATCACAATCTGGTATTTTGGTGAAAGGAAGGATGAAATGACACCCATTCATGTTACATTAACTCTGGTGTAGCATTCCAGCATTCCAGTATGTCCTTTGTCTTAAGTGAAGTCATTAAATTACAAAACTTCTTATTTCTAGTTTTGAAAAGTATAATTCTCCTGAAGTATTTATTTTTTACAGTATTTTGAATATGTACTATTTCTCCCAATAGCATTGCTAGCATTAATCTAATCTCTGGAACTCTCTCTCTTCTGTAGTGACTATTATGTTGTAGCTTTAACCAAGAGGACATTGTTGTGATATTCCAGGGAATTTATTTTAGGATTATTGCCTAAATGACAACATATTGGTTATGAGAATCTATGTCATACTGTTTACAACTGTGCCGTGGTATCTAACCCAAGGCTAATGGGAAATCAAAATTGTGTATTGTAATGACTCTGAACTATGAAACCAAAGCAATGAGTTGAATAAGTCAGTTCAGCCAATACCAGTGTGTGGTAAATCTTATTTTTAGTAACAAATCTGTTGGAGTTTTTTGTACCAAGTTTATCACAATTCAGTGAGCATTAGATCTTCATGAATCTTTTACATATGCATATTTGTTATAAATAAAATATATTCCGGTTGACTTCATGAGATTCATGTTGTGTTTTCCTATTTTTTATAAAATTAACATACACAGAGATTTATTAAAATATCCCCATACCCCAAATAAATGAGCTTAGTGAATATTAAGGCAACCAGGTGAGATCTTGGTCAAGTCCTCATTTCACGTTGGAGCTAAAATCACACTTAATTTTGCCTGATGTTGATGTGCAGAGAATGAGAAAGCTGTCAGGGTGAGGTGAAAAGGATCAGGTGAGACTGGCAGGTGAAGAAGACAGTGACTGCTGTGCTAAGGACACCAGATCCCATGAGGCTGTATTGTTATAGGAAAACGAAGCAACCAGACACCAAGGGATTCTGGAGTACGAGGTTTATTAGCGTGCACAGGCCCAGAGGAGTCACTCTCCAAATTCTGAGCCCCGAACAAAGGATTCTTGGGGTTTATATAGTCTACGGGGTCTTCCTGTCTACATAGCAAAGCGGGATACAGAAGCAGAATGTGGTAATTAGTTCTATCTACAGGGCAGAAGCAGAGGACAAAGGCTAAATGTGAAAATTGGTTCTATCTGCAGGGGTGCTAGCCCCAGTCCTTGTGACTATCCTGCTATTTGCTTTTCCCAGACGGCCTTATCGCTCTCCCAGGGCGCCTGGGGTTTTGGGTGAGCAAAGGTTTTCTAAAGCTTCCCACATCAGTATCACCTTCTCACAAGGTTAAAATGATCATTGAGATCAGCCCTGGCTGGTGTGGCCCAGTGGATTGAGCATTGGCCTGTGAACCAAAATGTCACTGGTTTGATTCCCAGTCAGAACACATGCCTGTGTTGTGGGCCAGGTCCCCAGTCGGGGGTGTGCAGAGGATTGATGTATCTTTCACACATTGATGTTTCTCTCCCTCCCTCCCTTCTCCTCTCTCTAAAACTAAATTTAATTTAAATCTTAAAAAAAAAAGATTAAAATGATCATCGACATCAAAAGGGAGGAAGTATGATTTTATTTGATGGCATCATTGGATTTTAGATCTGTAAGGTACCTTTGGGGTCATTGCAATCCAGTTTTGATAGGAAATTGTTTAAGGCCAACGATCCGAAGGTGTAACTAAGATACTTGATCAAGACCCTTGGTAATCTTATCATCAGTCAGTAAAAAATAGTGTCTACATATTCATGGCAGCATTATTCACACAATCCAAGAAGTAGAAATAACCTATGTCCATCAAGAGATTAGTAAATAAACAAAATGTGATACATACAAACAATGGAATATTATTCAGCCTTAAAAAGGGAAGAAATTTCGACATATGCAGCAACATAGATGAAACTTGAGGACACTATGCTAAGTGAGGCCAAACACAAAAAAGCATACATGTATGTATGATTCCACTCCTATGAGGTGTCTAGAGAAGTCAAATCTATAGAAACAGAAAGCAGAATGGTGGTTGCCGGCAGCTGGGGTGGAAGGGAAATGGGAGTTGTTTAAGGAACATAGGATTTCAGCTTTTGAAGATGAAGTTCTGGAGGCTTGTTGCACAACAATGTGAATATACTGAACTATACAATTAAAAATTAAAGATGGCAAAAAATATTTTTTGAGACCCTTCTATGTGCCAGGCATTATTGTACACTGTAGGGACACATGAACATGAAAGAATCCCTCTACTCAAGACCATTCCATTCTAGCAGGGCTAAGTATATAAATTTTTAATAAAAATTCTTTAATACAGAGAATACCTGAGATATGGCAGGCACCAATCTGTGCTGTAAAGGAGATAACATAAGGTAATGTGGTAGAAAATGACTAAGCGCTGCCTTAGCTGGGCTGCTGCTGGACAGGGGACTCGGAGGAGGGACATAGGAGTTCCAGTGCAAATGGAGAATGGGGCCCCTGTGTTTGGAAGCAACACAAAGAGTTTGGATTCCACACTGGCATTGGGAGGGGGTAGATTTTCCACAGGGGAGACATTCTGACAGACGCTTTCACAAGATCACTCCGCCTACTAGATGGAGGATCCACCTAATACAGGAGAGGGGCATGAGAACTACACAAATCAGCTAAAGTCAAACAAAGTTAGGGCAGAGTCTGCTACATGCTGCCTGCTACAGAACTCAGCTGATCTGAGATGCAAGCAAACCACAGAGAGCTTCTGGATGAAGAAAATCCCTGCAGAGATTCCCTAATGGCTACTTACTCATATCTTATCATTTACCCTTCCATATAGGGAAAACAGACCACAAAATATACCTTGTAAAGGTTAAAGTTAATCCAAATTTTCTCCCACTGTTTCCCCATATCAGCAATTTCCTATAGAAACTACAAGCAGATCAAAGCTCAGCCTCTAGAGATGGTTGGGGGTCTCTCTTCCTTCTCTGCAAAGAGAGTCTGCTTCTCTGTCTACAGATTAGCTTTTCTAGTTTGTCCTCTCTGCTCAATAAAACCTGCTTTTACACTTTAACCTTTTGTCTGTCTCAGGTCTTGAATTCTTTTCTGCCTGAAGCTAAAAAGCCTCTTGGCTTGGGACTCAAGGTTCCTCTGACATCAGACCTGGGGGTCATGGGAGGGGGCAGCGATAACTGGCTGTTACAGTGATGTGTGTGTATGTGAGACAGGAGGGGCACGTGCACAATGGTGGTAGCAGTGGAAATGCTGAGACATGGCCCATTTCGGGATGTAACATGGATATCAAGCCAAATAACCTACTAATACAAGAGTAAAAGTCAGAAAGGAATAAATGAAACCTAGATTTTGGGCTAATCAACTGACTCTCTGACGGAACTATTTATTTAGATGTGAAAGCATGGTAATAGAATGATGGTGTTTAAGGGGAGGGTAGAGCGGGCAATGGACTTCTGCTATGGCCATGTTGTTGGAAATGTCTCTTTAGACACTGGGTAATTGGTAGGGTGGCAGAATCTCTCTGCTGACAGCTGTGTTGCTCCCTGGGCCCAGTGCGAGGGTTGGAGAAGCCAGGGCAGGTGTGTGTGTGTGTGGGGGGTGGAGTTGTAGAACACGGAGGCAGTTTTGATTTATAGAGCACTATGGAAATGAGCATCACCATGACGGTGCTGCTGGCTGATTTCCATACCCAGTTGGGTTTTCCCCCTTTTCAAAAGTAAGTTCTGGGCCTCTCTGCCTGAACCCTGACCTACCACACTGCTGTTTTCTTCACTTCCTTGAGGATGCAAAACTCCCTTATCCAAATTGCCCCCATATTCCCCAATGATTACTCTGTTATTTATTTTTCACTCTTCCTCTTTCATTTCTCTGCTCTACCCCATTCTCTCTGTAGTCAATAAATTATTGCTAAATTCTAATGATTTCTTTAAGATTTCATTAGGTGGCACTTTCTCACCTCAGTGTGTTTGTGCTTTAAAGGTGTTTCACCACCAGCTCTTCAATCCGCTGAGCTCCCTGCCCCTTGCCCTCATTGTTCTTTATTTCTCCTCCACTGGTTCTCCAATGACTCTTCACCTGTATGTTACTCCCCGCACTTTGCCTTTCAGGCCTTGTATTTTTATATAAATGTCTGTCTCCTATTCCAGCGTGTCAGGTTCGCACTGTTGGAGTTCGCGCCCTGTTCATTTTGTACCCTCCCCCACACCCAGCCCAGCACCACGCTCATAGTGTTGCAGGGCACAGCCAAGAGGGGGCCCCCCAAAAAGGAATTTGGAATGGGGTCCAGAACTCAAGGTGTCCAGGAAATATTAGAAAGACTTGTAAGATGTCCTTATCACTTATCCTTCCCCACAGATGTCAGTGGGAGAAGGGACAAATGGAGCAGGGCCATTGAGAGTTGTTTAACATAACAACAGTTTTGCAACTAACCTCTAGAATGGTCATTTAACATATCTATAACCTTGAACTGGTTTCATAGATACGTTAAATAGCTGTGGCCAAGCTTTGAGCCAGGGAGAAGGGAGTGACTTCCATCCTGGATGCAACTGGGAGGCAACACCCCTGGTTACAGCGCCTGCGTGAGAGCTTGGAGATGATTGGCTCCAGGCCATAGGGCCACACCTGCCATAGGACCCCCTCTTACCCAGGTGAAGGAGAGAGCCATGCAGTTTTAGCAGAATGAAGACCACCTCTTGGCCATGTGAAGGAGAGAACCATAGGCTTTTGGCTAGAATGGGGACTCCCACAGCCATGTGAGGGGAGTACCATGCTGCTTGGCCATAGTGGGGACTCCTGTAGCTGGGAGGTACAGAGAATCACCATGTAGCTTTAACAGAAGAGTACCATTTGGCTTTGCCAAAGTGGGGACCCCCACAGCCATGTGAAAAGAGAAGAAGAACCATGCACTTTTGGCAGAGTGCAGACCCTTGCAGCTTTGGTAGAAGAGGTCCATGTGGCTTTGTAGTGCTCCCATTGGTCACGTGGGCTAGGAAGCAGGAGAGACTTTGCCTGGAAAATTGGTACAAGGAACTCTTGCCAGTAGACCGTGAGAAGGTGCCACATGCCTTTAGAGCAATTAGAGATCCTGCCCGAATGGTGACATGGCTGATGGTGCCATCGGCCTGAAACACAGACATGTGCTTCTTTTCCTGAGATATGGTACCCTGAATTAGGGCAGGGGGGAAGAAAGTGCTGTGGGCGTCTGTGATTATCCTAAAGGACTTTGATATATTAATGGGGGCACTGGGTCACTACTTTAAGTCTGTGTATAGCTTTAAATAAACCTTTCCTTTCCTTGTCACAAATCTCTTGCATTGAGAGATGTCTTTCCTCTGATGGTGGATAGACAAGCCCATTAGGTATACCATCTTTGGAAGGGGCCCTGTTGTTCCGTAACAGTTTTTGGCATCCCTGGGTGAGCCAAATATTGCCCCCCTGGGCTCCTGTTCTGTAACAATAGTAGATGCTTTACCAATGCTGGCTGTGAATTGAGCTCATGGATCAGTTTAATTCTATGTCTTCCAGAAAACTCAGTTCCAATATTGTAACCCACTTTGATACTATTTTTCATTATCTCCTACAACGTCATCTCTGCAGTAGTCAATGATTAACATAATTGATTAACCCAA